GGTCCACGTTTCAGATGCATATGTGGCTATGGGAAAAATGAGCGCCCTTACCAGCGTTAGTTGTGTGTGTATTATTATGCTAGAATTTTTCCAAATTGCTATCAGTTTCATCATAGCTGTTCTAGCACTAGTCAACCTTCTACATATTTCTCTGTCACACCCTCCGTCATTTGTTATTAGGGACCCCAGGTATATGAAAGTATTTACTACTTCAAGGCCCCCAATTTCTTTAATGTGTTGAAGATTATTCCCAGCTCTGTCTACTATCATGATCTTTGTCTTACTCATATTTTGTTTTCACTCAAGTTATTGATTTTTTGACCTCCTACTGTTATTCCGCCCTTCCATCCATCTAGTACCTTTCTCTATATATTCTGTATATATTATATCTAGCATAATGTGTTCGCTGTAGATATTAAACAGAGTTGGCGAGATTATGCATCCCTGCCTGACACCTGCCTTTGATATCTGAGGCAATAGAAAAGCTTTTAATTTTTCGTGTATTATATGAAGTAGAACCCTGCTTGCATGGGATATTAGGATCACTGTTCTGTAGTTGCTGCAATCTAGTGGAGTTCCTTTTTTTTGAATATAGGGATGAAAGTAGATATTGTCCAGTCGTTGGGCCACTCTCCAGTTTCCCAAATATTTTGCAGATCATATGCATAACATTTACTCCAACATCTCCAGTCTCTTTTAAAGCTTTGTGGTACTTTACTAGTTATTCTGACTTTACAGTTAAATGTTAATTGAAAATGAAAATTCAAGAATTAAACCAAGGGAATATCTTAGGACATCCGTGCAAAACAAATTGTTTTAAATGTATTTAATTATCATCTAAATTTAAGAAGTGGTGAAAGTGTTAGAAGTTTAACCGATAAAGTAAGTGCTATGACGGGAGTGTTTTTTGCAAACGAGGAGTAAAGTCAAACGTAATTGAACGGACCGACATTCTAAAATGGAGGCATCAGTATTTACGTGAGATAAAAAATTTCGTTCTCATGGATACACTGTTGTTTATTTGGACGAAACTTAAGTGAATGTTGGACATAGTGTTTTTAAAGAATGGAAGGACTTCTCAGTGCCTTCAACCAGGGATGTGTTTGTTAAGGGGTTGTCAACAGGCCTAAAGGAGCCGACACAACGAGACCTCAGATTTGTTATAGTGCGTGTAGGTAGCGAATTGGGCTTTGTAGAAGGTGCTGCTTTTTAGTTTTTAGCTAAAAAAACTCAGCAGACTATCATGATAAGATGAATGGTCCTATATTTGAACAAGGACTTACGGAAAAGCTGTTTCCTAATCTTCCAGAGAAAACTATTGTGGTGATGGACAACGCTTCATACCATTTGAGGAGCGAAGAAGTGATTCTGACACAAGCCTTCAATAAAGATCAAATTAAGATGTGGTTGCTGGAGAAGGATATTTTTTTTGAAGAAGATTATTTAAAACCAGAGCTCATGGAAGTCATAAACATGTACAAAGAAAAATGCATAAAACATAACATCGACGAGATGTGCAAAGAGAAAAATGTTGCCATTCTTAGACTACCTCCATACTATTGTAAGTTAAATCCAATTGAAATGGTATGGAGTCAAGTCAAAAGACATATTGCCTCACACAACACAGAGTTTAAGACCGCCGCTATGGAACAATTAATAAGAAATGTATTTGGTGTAGTAACGGTGGAAAACTGGAAAAACTATTGTAAACATGCTACTAGGGAGGAGCAAAAATTTTGGGTTATTGATGGGTTCATGGATGATATTGATCCTGAGGTAATCGATGTGACGGTCGACAGTGTCAGTAATGAAAGTGATAGCGATGATAGAGAAGATGAGGATGATGTTAATATGCTGTGAGTAAATTATGTGATAGTGTGCAAATCGGCGGACACAAAGTGCCAAATCTGAAAAGTCTGTAAATATAATTTAATGTATAGTGTATAAATGAATGGACACTAAATAGAAAAAAGAATGGAGTAACCACATAAGCAGAATGGGGGGACAAGTGTGGTCAAAATAGCAAGAGATAAATTATTAATTGGTAGAAGTATTGGCTGACAGCGCAAAAGATGGAGTAACAATCTTCCATGGAGGTATCAATCTACCAATGAATAAGCAAGATTGCTTATAAAGAGGAAGAAGAATGAGAAGATAAAATATAACTTTGATACACCGAAATTTATTGGGACACCATGTATATTTCAAACTAATTTTAAAATGTAGCTTTTATCAACTTACAAACTAATAATTTAAAAATTTTTAATTCTTTTACTCTTTCACTGTAATTTTTCGTTCTGTTAGTGGTGATTCACCCTGTATACAAGGAAAAATTTTTATCTATGTAATTTTGTTATTACTTAAATGAAAATAAAATTAAAGCTGCACTTGTTTTTTTTTTCAGTTACATCTTATCTAAAGCGTTAATAAATATGTAATGTTAAACAATAGTGAAATTTAACTATTTCTATTAGACCTATAATAAGTACATGCCTATATCTGTCAATTAAAGGAACAAGGATTTATAATGCATTATTTTGTATTCAACTATACATATACTTTTATTAGTGAAAACTACAACTACACAGTGGTGAATATGGCTATGATTAGAATGAATCATATATCCACAATCTAATAGCAAAACAGGCCTGAGAGTTTTGGCAATCCATAAGCGCAATTTTATTTTCTTAACTTAACACAAAGTATAGATGCAGGAAGATTTCCTATTATGGGTAAACACTGAGGAAGATTGGTACAAAAATAGAGTTTACACTGACGAACACCATGCTTGACAATAGATCTACCTGAAATAAGCCAAAACTATTTTCAAATGGCAGAAAATAAATGTTGAGGACTGGCGAGCATCAACATGAGATGTTCCAAAATCATAGTCATAACAGGATGATCTGCAGGAAGGAGTATTGTATGCCTTTTATTAAAATCATATTTAGAGTTGATTAATGTACCCCCTACCTGGTTATATCATCATTATCCAGAAATGGAATTAAAGACAGGATTTTACTCTTAGAATAGAGGGATTTTCCTTTAGAAAAGTTATGAAGTTCCTTTGGAAATGTCTCTGCTTAAACCATCTTTGCAATACATGTGACAGATGACAGATGCTTTAAGCTCTATGGTGGTTGGTGGTAAGGATTGGAATCATGTGCCTTGAAGCAGAGCTGTTTCAGAACAGTTGCAAGCAACAAGCAATGACTCTTGCAAGAAACAAGAAATTACTGTAATTGTGTAACAGTAAAGAATGGGTAACTTTATTAGTCTCAGGAAGATCTTGCTTAGGATGAACAGCCAACTACAAGGAGTTTCCATGAGGAAGGGAGGACCATGCCACCAAATTATTTATTTTGCACCCTTTGCTCCTTTCTATAGTAGACAGAAAGTTTTTAAATAATAAATTTAAAATATTCCTGTATTCAGCTTTTTTTTATATTTTCAAAATAAAGTATTTTTTTTATAAATTTTTTTAATTGTTTTTACTGGTCGCTAAATATAGCATTGCTTAGAAAGTATTAGTTGATTGTGAAAATGCAGACTGGTAGCTATATTTACCACCCTTTCCAGCACTTCTAACAAAGAAAAATTGTTTTAAACATTATTTGTCTTATTAATGATGCACAATGAAATACCTGTAGTATTCAAAAGTATAGATTTACAAAAAAATAGGTCTGCCTGTTAAAGAGTTAAATAATTTAAAAAAATTAAAATTAAATTATGAAGGTGTAATAACATCCTTAATTTAATTCGAGTGAAGTTGAAACATCAAAAAATTATAGAATGTAATTTTTATTACAACGAATTGTGCCTTAATCCTGTATAAACATAATATTTAACTTGTGTAATATGAATATGTTTAATCAACCACAATAATTCAGGTGCATGATAGACTGTTCATCAACTCACAAAACTTCATCTGGATAAATGGAAACATCTACCAGAGGAATAATGTTCAAAGCTTTAAGTATGAGTGGATGGTAAGCCAAAACAAGAAATGTTGAAGGAGGGCATAGACATTATTGCCTGTAGTATTCAAAAGTATAGATTTACAAAAAAATAGGTCTGCCTGTTAAAGAGTTAAATAATTTAAAAAAATTAAAATTAAATTAAGAAGGTGTAATAACATCCTTAATTTAATTCGAGTGAAGTTGAAACATCAAGAAATTATAGAATGTAATTTTTATTACAACGAATTGTGCCTTAATCCTGTATAAACATAATATTTAACTTGTGTAATATGAATATGTTTAATCAACCACAATAATTCAGGTGCATGATAGACTGTTCATCAACTCACAGAACTTCATCTGGATAAATGGAAACATCTACCAGAGGAATAATGTTCAAAGCTTTAAGTATGAGCAGATGGTAAGCCAAAACAAGAAATGTTGAAGGAGGGCATAGACATTATTAATTTACAAATAAACTTTTGTCATTGTTTTATAGTTCCACTGAACAGACAATTTTCATATATAGTTGCTATATTTTCACACTTTGGTTTAGGACTCAAAAAGTTTTAGTATTACCACCCAAAAGGTGGTTGTTATGAATTTATTTAGCTAAAATATAAGATTGTTTGTATTTACTTGCTTGCATCTTTTTCACAAAAGATTTAACTTCTAAAACATTCTATAATTTTGTGGATTTGTATACTAGAAAGTTGGTGTTGTATGCAGAAGAGTAACATGTGTATCTAATAATTATGAATTATTAGATACACATTAAATACTAGAAAGTTTGTTTTGTATGTTACATGCTATGTGTATCTAAGAATGTAAAGTTTTAGAGCATAAAATATTTAGGAAGAGATTAAATACCTGAAAAATGAAATTTTAAATGGCTTAAAGCATATTTTAGTAGTTATCGGAAAAATTCTTGCAAACTAAAGTTAGAAATTTTCAATTATATGTTGTTTGCGCTACTTAGATTAGAAAATAACAATTTGTTATGCATCTGAAAGTCCACTTCTTAATACTTTGAAAACTCACCTTTTCCGTTGGGGGTACTTTCCATTTTTTCAAAAACTGTAAAAAACTTTCCTGTTTTAGTATAACTTGAGTTAAAGTACTCGCAATTTCTTCAGATGTGTTAATAACAGACTCTTTGTCTTCCATTGCTGAAATTAATATTAAACTCAGTAAATATGTTAGCGGCTTCATACAATATAAAGTTACCTATAAACGTACACATTTTGTTAACACATAAACATTAAAAGAAATTTATTTTTCATCTATTTGACTCATTTTTTATAATTATGGAAAATATACGCGCGAAAGCTGTTATGAAATGACATAAATAATGTCTAATGTCATATCATAAATAATTAAAAATGTATTCTTTTTGGTAAATTTTATTTCTAAAATTGGTTGCAGTGGTTAACCTTGACCGGTTAATATAGTAATATTCTCATAGATGGCAGAACTTGTCTCTTAAATCTTTATAATCTTAAATGATTAGTTTGTTCAGTTTATAAAAAAATATATCATAGATAAATAATATAATATTAGAAAAAATATATTATTAAGATTTAATCGAAAACTGTATGAAAAATAATAATCAAAATATAGACCTTAAATGAGAAGTAAAAAAATAATAAAATTACTTTATTTAGTTTTAAATATCTTATTTAAATTTAAAAATACAAAATATAATATGAAACACCGCGCTAGTCTGAAGTACCGTCTACTGTTTCACTATTTGGTATTTGCTTTATGCGTGCGTGCGTGCATGCGTGCGTTCATCCGTGCGTCCATGGGTGTGTGTGCGTGCGTGCGTGCATGCGTGCGTTCATCCGTGCGTCCATGCGTGTGTGTGCGTGCGTGCGTGTGTGTATGTGTGCGTGTGTTTGTGTTTGTGTGTAAGTGTGTGTGTGTGTGTGTGTGTGTGTGTGTGTGTGTGTGTGTGTGTGTGTGTGTGTGTGTGTGCGTGTGTGTAATTATAGACTGTGTTCCAGGGTTTCTTAACCTGTTGTTGTTGGTATATTCTTGTTGTTGATTTTTTCTTTACTATGACAAATCACAGATATGAAAACAAGGCTGGGACAATGAACACAGAGTACAATAGAAGGATACATTAGAAGTCATGAAACAACCAAGGAAAAGAAAAAAAATCAAAAAAGAAACGACAAACAAACAAAAATTACGAAATGAAATTTTCATTACAATTAATCGTGACTTCAACATAGTATTTATTGCTCTCTCTGTGATGTGTTAAATTAATTTTTTTTGTTTTTTGAAAGCCGTTTGTTACCAATTTGAACTATATTTGAACAATACTAAAAAAGGTAATGCCCATTTGCTTAGCTCGGGCATATTTTGAAAGATTCTTAGTCAGAATCCTGCAACACAAAAATTCCTAGACTCGGTTCGCTAATCCCAGTTCAAACTGCCTAGTGATTTTAGTAATTATGTTGTTACGTTAGTTACTTTTTGACCGACTCGAAGTGGCTGGAAATTACTATGCAACCAAGCACACGTGCTCATAGCGTATTTCATTAGAGTATTTCGTCGACCTCTTTTGCAAACTTATACTATGATTTAGAAATTTACAGCATTTATAAAGAAGTAAGTTTCTATTATATCATTATTTCCTATATATAAAAAATATATTTTATAAAGGAGTTAGGCTAATTTAGTTTATATCGTTGAGTTGCGCCAAATGTAGGCAACCAACTTAAAATTTGGTAGCATTTAGCTTGAGTTTATTGAGAATAATTGAAGGAATTAGAAGAAACCATACAGGTTGGACTGTATATTTGCGCTGGTTATAAACTTCTTGTTGAAATAAACTTGAATACATTAATTTAAACTTTGACAGAATGAAAATCGTGTTTGTCAACCTGAAAGGAACAATTTATTCTAACATTTACAATGTTGCCGTTCAGACAATTTTGCACTAATTGACGTGTAATTTGAAGTCCAAACAATAATGTCAATAAACGTTTAATACTTTCCAGTTAATTTATTATTTTTTTAAAAGTGATGATAATGATGCCGAATAGATAATACTTCAAATGATCTATAATCACAAAATGTACTCAATATTGTGTTATATAATCCACATAAAGTATGTTAGATAAAAAAGGTAAAATTCCGGATCGTCCAACACTAGTTTCTGATGAGAATAATAGAATACATATTAGTATAAATTTGCAAAAAAGGTCGACGAAATAATAGTACTCTAATGAAATACCCTATGAGCACATGTGTTTGGTTGTATAGTAATTTCCAGTAACTTCTAGCCTGTCAAAAAGTAACTTTGCAAAAAAATAATTATACTCGGTTCACTAATGCCAGTCCGAACTGTCTAGTGATTTTAGTAATTATGTTTTTACGAAGTTAGTTACTTTTTGACAGACTAGTAGTGGCTGTAAATTATTATACAACCAAGTACACGTGCTCATAGCGCATTTCATTAGAGTATTTCGTCGACCTCTTTTGCAAACTTATACTATGAATTAGAAATTTATAGCATGTATATAGAATGTAAGTTTCTATTATATATAAAATATATGTTTTATAAAAAAAAGTTACGGTAATTTAGTTTATATCGTTAGGTTGCGCCGAATGTAGGCAACCAACTTAAACTTTTTCTTAGCATTTAGCTTGAGTTTCTTGAGAATATATTTAATATTATTTTCCAGTTAATTTATTATTTTTTTTTAAAGTGATGATAATAATGCTGAATAAGCAATATTTCAAATGATATCTAATCACAGGACGTACGTAATATTGTGTTATAAAGTAGGTTAGATAAAAAATTCAAAAATATCATTCATCAAAAATATCCAATATCATCAAAAATATAATTAAAACAAATCATAATCTTCTATTATTCCTATTAGAAACTAGTTTTGGACGGCCCGGGATTTTACCTTTTTTATCTAACGTACTTTATTATGAGGATTTTACAATAACACAATATTAAGTACGTTTTGTGATTAAATATCATTTGAAATATTGTTTATTCAGCATTATTACCATCACTTTTAAAAAATAATAAAAAACTGGAAAATAATAAACGTTTATTAAAAATATTCTCAAGAAACTCCAGCTAAATCCTAACAAAAAGTTTAAGTTGGTTGCCTACATTTGGAGCAACTTAACGATATAAACATGGTTTGTGATATAAACTAAATTACTGTAACTTTTATCACAGCTTTTATTTAATTTTTGACGCCATGTCAAACTGAACTGGATGTTAACTGAAATGTTTTTGTTATTAAGAACATATTTACATAATTTTATAAATATATTTTAATGATCCACCTACGCCGAATGGGCAAATAATTAAACAAAAATGGTTGGTGTTTTGAATAAATCTTTGTGCAGTTTGATTACCTCATAATTTAACAGCTTCTTTACTCATCTAAAAATATTAACTTTTAAAGAACATTTATCATATTTATCTTTATTCAAGAAAAACTTACCAACGCCTTATCTGATAGAACAAATGGAAAACTTTGACTATCTCTAATAATTAAATTCAAAATAGAACTAACTAATTAACTAAATAGAACTAACAAAGAATTAAACAAAAATAATGGAACAATAAAACTATATTAGCTAAAATAAACTACGCGAATAATACAAAATATTTACTACAATATCTTCAATTGTAACAACTCAAATATTATATTTTAAATATACAGGGAAAATGTTATGGGTTTAGTATACACAAAGAATATAGACGCTATAAGCGTCTATATTCTTTGGTATACACTTCTACTACTTGGAATAATTCTTCTTTTTTTAAAGGAAGAAGTCTGCAATAGTAGTATATTTGAGCTATTAATACTGAGAAGTAGGAATTTTTGTGTTGTAGGTTTCCGACAATGAATCTGTCAAAATATGCCCGAGCTAAGCGAATGGAGAATACTAAATTCACTAGACAGTTCGGACTGGGATTAGCGAACTGCATATTCGCTCCGTGGGTCTCCCCTCTATTTACAGTCACGTTATGGTAAATATTATCTTGGGTAGTAAATAATATTGTTGTAACTAGTTGCCCATTTATTAATCACTGCTTTGTACAATATTTCACTATTATAAACTTAAATATATCATTACTTAATTGACGCTGGCCATAGTGTCGGTATCATAATTAAGATTCCCGAGAATGATTGGTGTTGCTTTTAATAGCCTCGGCCTTGCTGACTCAGCGCTCTTGTTACTATTCGTGTCAAGTGTATTCCCTGACCTACACCACAAGTAAGTCGTGCAATTTTACTAGAGTGCTGACTGGCTGTTTTAATTAGAGTATGTTATATATGAATGACCTCGATTTAAATTACCGAATGTTTACATAAACAAATGTTACACGAGTATGAATTATAATATTATTTTATCTGTAATTCTGATATTTAAGGGTTGATATTACACCATCCCCTTTTGGGAAAAAATTTCTCTTTTACAACTGTCTTATTCCTCTCTCTCCTTCCCTTCGGAAGAAGAGAAATTTTTCAACCTCAAGTAAGTACTGTTTACCTATGCTACTGTGTACATATATACATTATCTTAACTCTAAAACATATGTGGTAAAATAGTTTATTCATTTGTCCTTTCACTTTTCCCGCGATATCATTAATATTGTCTCATAAAATCTCCGCGTTCACTTGTGTCTACTGATTGTAAGCGTATAATCTATTTTTATGCACCTCCCTAATCTTTCCGTTATCTAGCCTAATTTTACAGTTAACATTATTTAATTCTGTTATGACAAAAGGACCTGCATAAAGACTATCAAACTTATTATTTTTCTTAACTAGTTAACTAGTTGCCCATTTATTAATCACTGCTTTGTACAATATTTCACTATTATAAACTTAAATATATCATTACTTAATTGACGCTGGCCATAGTGTCGGTATAATAATTAAGATTCCCGAGAATGATTGGTGTTGCTTTTAATAGCCTCGGCCTTGCTGACTCAGCGCTCTTGTTACTATTCGTGTCAAGTGTATTCCCTGACCTACACCACAAGTAAGTCGTGCAATTTTACTAGAGTGCTGACTGGCTGTTTTAATTAGAGTATGTTATATATGAATGACCTCGATTTAAATTACCGAATGTTTACATAAACAAATGTTACACGAGTATGAATTATAATATTATTTTATCTGTAATTCTGATATTTAAGGGTTGATATTACACCATCCCCTTTTGGGAAAAAAATTTCTCTTTTACAACTGTCTTATTCCTCTCTCTCCTTCCCTTCGGAAGAAGAGAAATTTTTCAACCTCAAGTAAGTACTGTTTACCTATGCTACTGTGTACATATATACATTATCTTAACTCTAAAAC